TTAGCAAAAGTCTGGCAAAACCAATCAAGAAAATATTCATTCTGTACAAATAATATTTGCAGAAAAAAGAAATGATTACATTGCCAGCAGTAATTTAAAAGATAATTATACTTTAAGCAAGTTTATTCCAGTTAATCTCATACCGAGAGATTAACTTATGCACAGAAGAAAATCTTTAAAACTGACCTATCAGGAGAGATAAGCAAGGATAATCCTAAAATTATTTTTAAAAACTCAACCACTATTAAACATCTTTTCACCAAAAAATCTATAGACTCGACTGTTTACAGATCTTTCTTCTCTCCACTGGAATTTATCTCCAGAGACATCTGTCTTTGAGGCCCTAAGGATTCAGAAACAACTAAACAATATGTGTAAATAAGACTCTTCTCATTAAGGGTCCTGACTCAGAGAAAATACAGGCAAAATTACATGGAATGAGATTTTTAAATAAAACCTAAATTCAGTATAACACATTCTAAAGCATGTTTGAATCACTCAATAACAACTATCTGCCCAGATTATCAACTATCTTAAAGAGGGAGCAAATATATTAAAAGGGAAGTGAAGGCTAAAAGAGCAATAGACTATGAGGTGAACCCTGGGAAGCAAAGAGGGTGCTCCCCAGTTTTCCTCCCTCCACTCCAGCACAGACTGCTCCTTCCACCAGAGGGCACACTCCTTGTGGCAGTCCTAGCTGGGGAGAGGGGAGGGTTTCTCCCTGGGGAGAATTCTGAGACAAGGGTCTCAAGAGAACACAAAGCTTTCCATTCCTGCCTCTTGGAGCTGTTGGGAAACTCAAAACCATGGCCTCTTGCTAGACCTCTCACTGGTAATCTCAGCTGCTCAGGAGGCTGAGGCTGGAGGATGGCAAGTGAGAGGCCAGCTTGGACAGTTGATCAAGAACCTGTCACAAAATTTAAAGATTTAAAAAGAGGCAGGGGAAGGCTAAGGGTGTGGCTGAGTGATACAGCACTCACCTAACATGAGCAAGACCCTGAGTTCAATCCCAGATTTAATCCCCAGTATCACAAAACAACAACAATAATAACAAGATCAGCTTCCAATCCACACAACCCAGACAACTTCTTCCCTCTGCACAAATGCAGAAGAAAACAGATTTTATTAAATAAGCATTAGGCTAGAATGTGATGAGCATTAGAGGTAACCCACGGAGGAGATGAAAATACAGAAAGAAACCTCCACTTTTATGTAGCCAAGCAGATGAAAGCCAAACCATATATGTCCCCAAGGTAATCAGTAATCAGTCCCCAAGGCAGAGGACTTGAGATCACCATTTACTTGATAATTGGGGTGACCATCTGTGTTAGGTCATTGCCATTAACCAAAGAAAAGCCCATTTCTCCAGTCTTGAATGGGGGTGCTTTTCTGGAGGAAGATAGACCACAGATACTGAGAAGCAGGGATGATCTCCTCTGGACATTTCAAAGTGGTGGCTCCTAGACATTAAGAAAAGCATCCCTGGGTTGCAAACCTGGTGAAAGATTTAGGCAAAAAGAGAGAAAGAATTTACAGTAAATAGTTCTCCAAAGTGAATTGGAGAAAGTAAATGGCCTAGAAATAAATGGAGGGGTCTCTATCCCTTTCTTGCACCAAGGAGCTTTTGGGTTTATTTTCCTTATGAGATATTTTATTTACCTTCACAGTATCCAGTTACATCAAAAGAAGTTCCAGATTCAGTTTTTCTACTGGAGAAACCACATGGAGTGGCCTGAGAGGGAAGGTACTCAACTGGGGATGGAGCTCAGTGGTAAAGGGCCCCTGGGTTCAATCCCAATAAACTAAAGGACTGGAGATTACAGAAAAGAACCTAGAAACCCAGGCAACAGTGAGAACAGGAGACACAGCTGCCCCCTGTTCATTCCCAGGAGACCCCTGACAGCTGAGTGAAGAAGCCATGGGGACCCTCGGCGGAGGGAGGAAACACTGTGTGGAGCTTGGTGTCCTGAGCGTCCTTACTGGAGGCGCTTTCCCACAGGATTCTAGAGCCAATACAATGATTATTTCGTTAAACAACACCAATTTAAAAAACAGAAAATAAAGCATATCTGGAAAAGTCACGGTGATTCAAAACTACTTTGGAAGAGATGATGTCTAACACCAAAAGTGAGAGGCGAATTTCACCCACCTTCTTCCAGGAACTCCTCTCCCCAGGTCGACCCCATCTGAATGTGTGGCTTCTACTCATTCTTCAGTTTTCCAGTGAGCTCTGACTTTGCAAAGTTCATTTCTTTATAGAGTTTTCTTATGATCTTTCATTATGAGCACTTTATCACGAAACATAGCACACTTTGTAGTCAATATTTTGTTTAAGGCCTGTCTTCTCCAGTACGAGGACAAGCCAAGTAACCCCATGATGGACCATTTTTGTGCCCAAAGTATAATTTAATCTATGAAGTAGAGTTAGGAAGAAAAATTTGATTTAATGTCATGATCTGTTTAACACCTGAACGTCCCCTTATCAAAGGAGCCTGGATCTTTAAGTCCTTAGATGACACCTCTTCGTCCTGTCCTGTGGAAATAGACTCCCTGAACGCTCCTGCTGTTGGTGGCTTTGATTCTGAACCAGCTCTTCTGAGGTTTTTCACTTTACCGCCTTAAACTTTATGGTTTCATGATTTGCATTGAAAGACTTGCTTTCATGTGTCAGATTCATGGTCAAAAATACCTCCCTGGATTTGAAGTTTGCTTTTTTCGGACCAGGATTCGGACTTGCCTTTCAGCCCTGTGTCCTTCGCCACCTCAGGGAGGTAACCCATCCGGGAACTCTGGGCCTTCTTCTCTTCCCTGTGTCTGCATGACTGGTCTTCCACCTACCTCTACTGTGTCCCACTGAGCCTAGTGACAGAGGAAATAAGAGAGTAACTGGCAGTATATCAACAATTTGGAAATCTCAAGATGCTTAAGATGACCTTGAACCTTGTATTAAGGAAGGACCTTACACTTAGTCAACGTGATTACATCCCCCAAAGAACATGGTCAAATCCAAAGTGTTTCCAAAGTCATATTATATACCAAGTATTGTTCAAGAATTTTAGAAACTGGCTAATGTAATCTCTTTTGGGGGGGCAGGAAGGGAGTTACCAAGGATTGAACTCAGGGGCACTTAACCACTGAGCCACATCCCCAGCCCTATTTTGTATTTTATTTAAAGATAGGGCCTCGCTGAGTTGCTTAGTTGTTGCTGCGAGCCATCCTTGGGCTGTGTGTGTGAGCTACGCGCATTTGAGCATATGAGGAGACTGCTCTGGCATTGTGTGCTGATTGGGCTGGGTGACCTAAGTGGACCTTTCCTCTCACTCTGCCTGGGATCCCAAACAGCACCTGAGATGGGTGTGACTTGCCAAGATGTCAATCAATCTGCTGACCACAAGATGTCACCAAGCAGGACTCCACCTTTTGAGACCCTATCCCTTGCCTCCTTTGGGTGGAATGTTCTATCGAATGTCTTTTTCCTAATAAACAGAGGAGTCTCAGGTGTGCTCTCTCTTGTTCTTTCCAGCACTGCCCAGCACGGAGCTAACTCGTGGGTCACAGAGCAGTCCCATCCTCGAAATTCACGTTCCTGTGTTGCATGGTTTCCTCGCCATTTTCTTCGTTATGGCTGGATCCAGCTCCTTTAAAGGAAGCTCATCTCATCAGCCTGGACAACTGGCGACACTTAGTGCCTCACTTTTCCTGAGGCTGGCTTTGAAATCACCATCCTCCTGCCTCAGCCTCCCTAGCTGCTGGGATTACAGGAGTGCACACTG